ACCTGGGCGCTCACCTCATAGGCTAAAACTCAATGTTTAAAACACGAAAATGGCTGAATATGAACAGAAAATATACAAGAATTATAAAATAAGCCTAACAGGCAGGACTCCCTATTAATATTATTGTACAAATTTTAATTTCACAAAGGGAGAATTTTAAACACATAAATTTTTCACCACAAGGACCTCGTCCTTATATAACATCCACCGCAGCTTGTAGCCCGGTTTAAATATTTCACATCATATAAAAATACGAGGATCCCGTCCTCAACTCTGCATCACAAGTAATATGCACATCGTGCCAATCAGAACATTCCATTTTCTTCTCTTAAATAATTTTTGTTAAATAAAATCACAACACATAATGAACCCTCATACCGGTACTCCGTTAGGGCATATAATTCACAATTGAAATCAATTATCCTGAAATCACATCAAAACCCACTGTAGTAAGTAATAGAAAGTCACTTTTAGCCTCGCAACTATTTTTAGTGACCAACACATAATGATATAAATAGCTATCTCCATATAATAACCCAACATGAGTATTCACAAAAGTAGATTTCAGGATTACGAAGCTCACTCATAAGTGGAGCATATTAAGAGGACTTGCCTCGATACTCAGAACCGAATTGATTTAAAGAAATTGTTACTTTATAATCACATTGAGATCGTACTTATAATGACACCATCTGGTGTAGCGACATCAGCCATACCATAGCAATTATATCAATGGGTCGGGCCTCCACCTCTTAGGCGCCATCTACCCGTTGTCCTCCATCTCTAACTTATAGTGTATGTAGATTAGTAACTATAATGGAGTGTGTGGACTGAGTGTTCTGATGAAATAGATTTCTCCCAAGTCTGGGACAATTCCTCATGATGTTCCTAGCATCACCACATTCGTAACAACCCATCTGCAGTTCGGCTGCTCATACTGATTTTGTGCCGGGTAATTGAAATAACGATTGTAGGAAATCCCGTGCCATTGGTGCATAAAAAAAATGACTGCCCCCACGCGAGTGTTATGATTAACTTAAGCACTACGAGTATACTGAAATTATTTCTATGACCCCGCTGATACTGAAATGTAGAATTATTAAGGACGCGGGAATATCTCATGTCCCATCATCATCCCATTCAAATCTCAGCTCTTAATCGTATACAAGCTTCGGAAAAACCTTTCAATACCACATATATACAGCTCAGGCCAAAACTAATATATCACATGACCCTGCAATTTGATCGTTGATAGTGGACTTCTCTTACTTGGTGTGAAATAATAGGACACATTTCCGACGATCCATAATACTAACCTTCATCGCTCATACGACACCAGTCACAATCCTCGTCGTTGGAAGACAGAGTCTTTTCTGGTATGTAATCTCGAGTCCGTTTTTCCTTTGTTATTGATACTTTGGTGTGTTTTATCATCGGCCCTTGAGGAACATCGACCCCTCCGATGATCACATGGATGACGTGATGGGGCTCGCCTTGTTCATTTTGTTTATTGGAATCTCTATTTCTGAAATGATTCTTAGCTCGGTCGCTCAGAAATTCTCGAAGGTTCCCATTGTTGAATAACCGGGCTACTTCTTCTCTCAATTGTCCACAGTCCTGCGTTCTGTGGCCATGTGTGCCATGATATTAGCATATTTGGTTGGGATCCCTCTATGTTGGATTAGTTTGCAAAGGTCGAGGCCACTTGGTATCTTTGATGCGTCCAATGGCCGATACGATGGCAACTGCATCCATATTAAAGTTGTACTCTGATAATCGTGGTGCCTCTTTGGGACCGATAGATCTATCGAAGCCGTTATTTCTCATGAGTCCTCGTGAGCTTTGACCTCGATTATTTCTGCTTTCATTTCGTGCAGAGTTTTGCCCAGATCCGCTGCTCAGATCTCCATTATACGGCTGGTATCGATCTCTATTTGACCTTGGTTCTCGGTCAATATCCCTCTTGATTCTATCGACGGGTCTGATAGGATAAACGGACCCGGAAGGAGCCCCAAGTTGATCGTCCTCGACCCTGATCTTTGATTGATACCGATTATGCACAACGACCCAAGTAATAGCCGGGTATTCTATCAAATTCTGCGTCAACTGGTGTGAAGCCACTAAACTTCGAACGTTAAGTCCTTGAGTGAAAGCTTGAACAGCCAAATCATTAGCGACCGGTGGCAGGTCCATCCGTTCTATTTGGAATCGAGACACGAATTCTCTGAGCATCTCGTTGTCCTTCTGCCTTACCTTGAAAAGGTCCGGCTTCCTGGTTTCGACCTTGATGGCCTCGGCGTGTGCCTTTACGAAAGAATTTGCAAGCATATCAAATGGATCAATACAATTAGGCGGTAAATTATGGTACCATATCATATCACCCTTCAACAGGGTCTCCTCGAATTTCTTTAGCAAGACATATTCGATCTCGTCATCCTCTGGGTCATTCCTTTTGATAGCATACGTGTAAGAGGTGACGTTCTCATTCGGATCGATCGTTCCATTATGCTTAGGAACTCGGGCATGCGGAACTTCTTGGGGATTGGCTTCGGAGCCACACTCGGGGGGAAAGGGTTTTGTATGAACTTTTTAGAATCCAGTCCTTTCAATGTTGACGGTGCCCCCGGGATTTGATTGACCCCGGAGTTATGAATTTCCACCTTCTTGTCGTTTGCCTCGATCTTCTTTTCCCCTGACTCATTCGCTTTGTCAGTTCTTCGAGAATCTTCATGATAGCAGGATTGGTCTCCGATTCTTTCTCGATCGATTTCTTTGAAACCAATTTGACCTTGTGTACAACTTCCCGGGATGGCTTGAGCTCAACCCTGCTTGGTGTGTGATTCTGGTTTTGGAGCTGGGCTATTGTTGTCTACTGAGCCTGCAACATTTCGAAGATCACCCGTAGGCTGATCCCTCCATCTTCACCCCCACGTGCGCTTTGAGCGGCTAATCGAGCATCGCCACAGACGCTGCCTTCGAGATCGACGGCCAAATTTCCATTGATGGCTTCATGTGAACTGACATTGATTGGATCTACATCCGGAACTCCATCGAGGCCAACCAGGGGTACATCGTTCCCTAGTGTTATGTTATTATTTTTGCCGCGGTGACCGAAATAATTATCAACGTGTAGAGGTGCTGACTGAGAGTTTGACATTTTTTAGTCATGTAATCAAAGATACTTCGAAGAACAAGTGTAAAACAATGTGTGTTACGAAAGTTTATACCAGGTAACCACTATTATCCTTAGCCCCACAGTGGGCGCCAAACTGTTTACCCTAAAATCGAATAACAATTGAATTTATACGCGATTTTAAGGATACGGATATAACTTGGTACAAATTAAGAAGAGTAAATTAATATTGAAATTGACGATAAAAGAATAAATGCAAACCACACAAATTGAATAGCCTTGTCCCTCGAGTTCGGTCACCCTTGAACCAAAAGATATTTCAACTGACTTATGAACAGAGTAACAAGATAATGAAAGCTAGAAAATGACAGTATATTGCTTTGTATTGCATGAATATGATATGTTTTACAAATGATCAGACCCCCTTTATATAGTAGGGGAGTCATATTCTGATACAATTCTTTATGAGGTAAGAAATCTCATGATTAGCTAATTAATCGGCCTCTTCTTGATACGTGCCAGGATTTCCGCCGTGATCCTTACTCGATTGCGAATCTTTCGGCTTTTCGTATTTGGCTCGGTAAGCTTCGCTCGGTCCCTATCTTGCTCGGTTTCGATCCTGATCGGTCTCTGGGTCACGAGCTCGACGATCTAACTTTGCACCATGGTTCGATATAACGCGAGGTTGAACCTTGACCTATCATGTTCGAGTCTCAATTAGTCATACAAAAGGGCAAGCCCAATTTTGACCGTATACAACCATCATAACAAGATTGACAGAAAAATACCAGTGCTTCACGTTTTTGAAACCAGCAATAAACTAGATCAGAGAACATGAACGACATACCACCGGAAAAACGAAGTCAGCAGAAAAATTGAGTCCCTATCCTTTGTGATTATCCCCTTTTTCTTCTCGAAATTCTCGCTCTTGAATCATTCAAAGACCAGATCTAAAAAGAAAGATGCTAGAAGAAATGCTTTAGCCGATCGTCTTCTCCTATGGTATTATCGAAAAAGATCCAAATCCCAATTTACACAACAGAGAAATTACCAAAAAGACAAAATTGTTTTGAATTTTTTTTTCTTCTGAATTCTTAATTTCAAGCCTTTTAACAGAGACCCATGTCACTGAATTCGGGAAACCAAATCACTTTGTGAATTACAAAGTTGAGAACTTTATTAATAAGAGGAAAAAAAAGAAGAAAGTGACAAAAAATAATTCTACTAAACAAGTGTCTTTGAATCTGAATTTGATGAGTATCTATTGAATTATTCCTATCCTGATACTGAAACAGAAGTTGGACGGAGGATGGGATGAAAGAGAGAAGAGAGTGAAAGAGGTGTAGCTGGACCTAAGGGAGGGGTGACGGAAGAAACAAGGGTTCTTTTGCTTTTTTTTCTTTTTTCTTTATTGTCCTTTTTTTTTCTTTTATAAAACTAGTCAAAAAAATTGCAAGTTATGCGCCTAATACCAGTGATGTGCATGCATTATTGCCATGTCATCTACACATCCTCCACATAGGCATGGTATACGGTCTGTTTATTAGTTAAGGGAATCATGAGTTCGAATATTCAAATGGAAAAGTTTAAAGTTAATGTATCGGCTTTCAAATGACCTACAAATCTAAGTGACCGGGAAGCCATTCCGCAAAAAAAAAAAACTACCTTCCATAATAATGTGCAAGTGAGGGGTATCAATGTAACTTCAAATTAACCAAAACCCTAATCGGGCACGCTGGATGGAGCTCCACGAATAGTGTCTCAGCTTAAGCGCGAACGCCACGTGGATAGGCTCATCGTTGCTGACGTGTAAATGTAACCGTAGCCTCCCTATTTATGCTCTTCATTCTCATCCATTTCCACTCAGTACCCCACTCTTTTCTTTTTCAATCTAAATCCACAAATCCATTCATACAGTTTAAATTCACACATCATTTTCCAGTTCATTGATCTAGGGTTTCAGCACTACGCTATTGTGTGTTTCTATTGACTATTTGAGGATCGGATTCTCTATTTTCTCTATCCTCTCTTGGCTCGAGATCCGAGCCAAGAACAGAGGATTTTGTTCGTTATCCGGAGCTTTGCAAGTGGCTGGTTAGGGTTTCGAATCGCTCGCTCTCTTCACTGTTTCCACTGCAGTGCAGAGAGGTAAAAACTCGGACAGAAAAGAAAGAAATACTGAGTTATTACGTGATTTTTAACCGTTCAGAGCGGCGCCGTTTTGTAACTGTATCTTGATTGTTTGATGTGTGCAGGTTTTGTGAAATGGCGTCGAATGAGGGATTTCTGACTGAAGAACAGAGGGAGAGGTTGAATGTTGCACCTCCGAACGCTGACGTTTTGTCATCTTCTCCCAAGTCTTCGTCAGTTCTCTTGTCGGAACATTGCGTGAAGGCACCACCAGGCTGTGGAAAGGCATCCACGGCTGGAACTGCTGTGAGACACGTACGACGTACACACTCAGGGAAACACATCCGTGTTAGGAAGGGTGAGTATTACTTTTTGGCTGAATCATGACGATATTCCACGGCTGGTGCTTCCTATTGAGCTTAAGACTGAAATAAGTTGTATTGTTTAAGTGATTCTAATTCACTGTAAGTAACTGAATGACGAATGATGAGTGAAATTGTAAATCCCTTTCCGAAGGGAGGAATTGAGCTAATGTGAACTTATTTCACGTTTTATGTGGATTAATATTGACCAAAAAAAAAACGGAAAAGAAGAAGAAGAAATGCTGTAGCACAGGAATGAATATAATGCGACAGTACTATCTCATGTTAATTTGGTGCAAGAGTTCCGGTAAGCGCATATATATAGTACACAATATCAAGAATTGAGAATTGAGTAGGTTAAGTCTTTCCTCTTCAAATAATCCTTCACTGGCGAGTAGTTGTTGGTACTGTTTTATTTATTGTATTAGAGTGTCTTGATATCCTTGTGAACCAGGTGTATGGGTACTTCGATGTCAATACACTGCTTTTGGGCTGCATACAGTTTTTGTGACTTTGTCTATGCAAATTTACACACGTTTAAGAGGATATAGTTGTTATAGCTTACATTTGGTGTTCCCTGAACACTGTTTTCAGGAAAAAGTATTTGGTTGTTTTGTTTGCATGTTGGTAGTTTCTTAAGATCAGTCTGGACAGCTGTATCAGCATTTGAGCTGCCGATATCCGATAGTCATCGGTAGAGAAAAGTCAGTAGGTAGATCAGCCAACTGTTTTAGGCTGATTAGAATTTGAATTGCTGAAGCACATTATGGAGCATCTAATGATTGATAAAACTAACCCAGTGCTAATATATGCGGGATGCAATCTTGGACAGCTGTATCAGCATTTGAGCTGCGGATATCCGATAGTCATTGGTAGAGAAAAGTCAATAGGTAGATCAGCCAACTGTTTTTGAATTGCTGCTCCACCTGTGGAGCATCCAATGAATGATAAAACTAACCCAGTGCTAATATATGCGGGATGCAATCTTGAGTATCATTTGTCAGGTACATCTGTAGTGTTAATTTGGTTTTGCCTTATAGGATCTTGGGTATGGTTTGTTTATTTTGCCCTTCTGTTAAGTGATGAAGTTACATTTATTAGAGTTAATTGCATCTCCATCATGTTCTTTTGTTTAAAGTTAAAGTGGATCTTGTTTTCTTTTCTTCCTTCTGATGTAGATTTCAGTGTTCTCATTAAAATCATGCAAGCTTGTAAAAGGGTTTTTCCCAATTTCTTTTTCTGCACATATACTGAAGGCTTTCCTGCATTTGATGTTAAAAACAGATGGAGCCGGTGGGAAAGGCACCTGGGGAAAGTTGTTGGAAATTGATGGTGAATCTCACATTGATAGGAATGATCCCAATTATGATAGTGGTGAGGTGAGTCCTACAAAAGCTATACTGGCTGTAGGTGATAAAATAACTTCAGATTTGTTATATTGCATCTTACGTTTTTGAATAACTGATTAAATAAACTCATTTTTTGGCATAAACTCTTTTTTTTTTTTTTTTTGGCAATGTTACATTGTACAGTTAATGTCCCCTTCAGGTTCAAAAGATTTAGTGCCTGCACTACACAATTGTGGATTAGAATGGAGAAAAAGAAATTTAAAGAATGATGAACGGAATCATTGGTGAGAAAGAAACAAAAGAATAATGTTTAATCTAACCATAATGATTGTATAGAGAAGAGTCAATGAAGGTTCACGACAATGGTATATTTCTGCAGAAAGCATTGCAGAGTTATCTTCTAAGTTCTCAATTCACCATGATTAATTTCTTTTTCTTTCTTTTCCTGCCAGTTTACATCTGCCTCCTAATTCCTTATGACCTGCACTTTTTGCCCTCTGATTAGTAACATATCAAACAAGTTGTGCATCCTAAGACTCGTCATTCTTTCTTTGAAATAGTCCTAGTCTACAGTTGTCTTCATGGTGTATCTAATCAAATCAATGGTTTTAAGCAGCGGTTATTAACAAACGTTAAAGTTTCCGAGCTGTATTTTAGCTTCTAATCTTAGATACTACAATGACAGATCAAGGGAAGGGATCACACAGAGTACTTATCCTTAAAGGAAATTTTAAATTTTCCATCTGCTAACTCCTTTTACTGAACCAATCGATTCATTTTATATTCTGTTTTACCTATATAATTGGTGGAGTTATCGGTGTTGTGAGAAGTGCATCCGTAATTCTCATGAAGGTTATTATATTAATGTTGTCTTACCTCTCGACTATATCTGAACAGGAACCATATGAGCTTGTTGGAACTGAAGAACAGTAAGGTTATTATATTGATGTTGTCTCACGTATTGACTGTTACTGAACAGGAACCATATGAGCTTGTTTCAACTGCTGTCTCTGATCCATTAGATGATTACAAGAAATCTGTAGTTTCAATTATAGAGGAATACTTTAGCACTGGTGACGTTGAAGTGGCTGCATCTGATCTCAAGGAATTAGGTTCGAGTGAGTATCACCCATATGTTATTAAGAGGCTTGTTTCTATGGCAATGGATAGGCATGATAAGGAGAAGGAAATGGCTTCTGTTCTTCTTTCTGCTCTTTATGCTGATGTTATCAATCCTACCCAGATTAGTCAGGGATTTTTCATGCTTCTGGAGTCTGCTGATGACTTGGGAGTGGACATACCAGATACTGTTGATATCCTTGCGTTATTCATCGCACGGGCTGTGGTTGATGACATTCTTCCACCAGCTTTTATTGCCAGAGCCAGAAAAATGCTCCCAGACTCCTACAAGGGGCGTCAGGTGCTGCAAACTGCTGAGAAGAGCTATCTCTCAGCTCCACACCATGCAGAACTTGTTGAGAGGCGCTGGGGTGGCAGCACCCATTTCACTGTAGAGGAAGTCAAGAAAAGAATTGCTGACCTTTTGAGGGAATATGTTGAGAGTGGAGACACTGCTGAGGCTTGCAGATGCATAAGAAAATTGGAAGTTTCTTTTTTCTATCATGAAGTTGTCAAAAGAGCTTTGGTTTTAGCCATGGAGATGCAGTCTGCTGAGCCACTTATTCTGAAACTTCTAAAGAAGGCTGCCGAAGAGGGTCTTATAAGTTCCAGTCAAATGGTGAAGGGCTTTTCTAGGTTGGCTGAGAGTATTGATGATCTTTGTCTTGATATTCCTTCTGCTAAAATGTTGTTCCAGTCAATTGTTCCTCGGGCAGTCTCTGATGGATGGCTTGATGCATCTTTTCTAAAAGCCTCAGGTGGAGATGGGCAAGCAAATGGTCCAGATGATGAAAACGTGAAGCAGTACAAAAAACAAATTGTTAATATAATCCATGAATACTTTCTCTCGGATGACATTCCAGAGCTAATCCAGAGTCTGGAAGATTTGGGGGCACCCGAGTATAACCCTGTTTTTCTGAAGAAGCTAATCACCCTTGCCATGGACAGAAAAAACAAGGAAAAGGAAATGGCATCTGTTTTGCTTTCTGCACTTCATATTGAGATTTTTTCTACTGAAGACATAGTGAATGGCTTTGTGATGCTGCTGGAATCCGCAGAAGATACTGCACTTGACGTTTTAGATGCTTCCAATGAACTAGCCCTTTTCCTTGCTAGGGCTGTAATAGATGATGTCCTTGCTCCACTGAATATGGAGGAGATAACGAACAGGTTGCCACCAAATTGCAGCAGTGGTGCCGAAACTGTCTGTTTGGCTCAATCACTTTTGTCTGCACGCCATGCTGGAGAAAGGATCCTGAGGTGTTGGGGTGGTGGGACTGGCTGGGCTGTGGAGGATGCAAAGGATAAGATACAGAAACTTCTTGAGGAATTTGAAAGTGGTGGTGTTATCAGTGAAGCTTGCCAATGCATTAGGGATATTGGGATGCCATTCTTCAACCATGAGGTAGTGAAGAAAGCTTTGGTTATGGCAATGGAGAAGAAGAATGATAGGATGCTAGATTTGCTGCAAGAGTGCTTTAACGAGGGGCTTATCACCATCAACCAGATAACTAAAGGCTTTGGGAGGATCAAGGATGGACTTGATGATCTGGCTCTTGACATTCCGAATGCAAAGGATAAATTCACGTTTTATGTGGAGCTCGGCAAAGAAAGAGGCTGGCTGTTACCGACTTTTGGGTTATCTGATGCATCTTAATGAGTGGAGTCATATATATTAAGCTTGTTTCATCTTTGTATGTTGTTCGTTGTTGCCTTATCTAGAAGTAGCTTGCACCCTTTTATTGGGAGTGGAGTGACACTTACTGTCCAATCCCTTCTAATTCCTTTTCTTTCATCTGAAGTTTTTTATATGATGGATATTTGTTGATGTAAAAAATTAGGCCTCTCGTATTCCCCTGCTGTAGCGGTAAACACATACTACATTAGCTTAATCTTTACCGTCTTCCATAACAATGTTACTACAGATCATTTACATAATCTGCTTTCCCTGAATTTTAATCTTGTATGGTCATTTTACATCATTGATTTGCTGCACGATGCCATTAGCGTCTTGATACTTAGAAATAGAAGTCCACTGTATGAGTATTTACAGTTCAAAGAACAAGGTAGCAGCTACTTAATCTAAAAGCTACCGAAGGGATGAGTACCAACAGGTAAAATAATGAGCGCCTTTAGTGCAGGTGCTCTTAATTTCTCCTGTTGAATTTGTTACTGCGCAAGATGTTCACCTCTGGTTTGCTTCTGGAAGTTGCTGAATTATTGGAGAAATAAGAACAGTCTTGGATTATTTGTGCTCACCATCCTAAGGTAATATTTCATTGTCATAATCTGAAGTAAACCTGCTGATGTCCATGTCTCACCTATAGTCTATGCTTGTTTCAGTATTTGGAACAGAGTGAGCGGAAAAGATTCAGATATATGCAGGTTAGGCGATGTTTTCCCTCCCTAAAAGCCTTATCCAGTAGTATCTCATTTCTCAAATGGCTTTCAAGGTATTTAGAAGGCAAAATCGTTTGTTTAGGAATTAAAGAACAAGAGAAAACTGCATGAGAGAACAATGCCTCGTCCTCCGCATTATCAGAAATTCAGAATGAGTTTCACTAGCCTTCTGTGGACTTCTTTTACTCTCAAGTAGGGGTGGCAAACGATCAGGTCGGTTCGGATATGCGACATGTCAAAAAAGGATAATGCAAAAAACGGATAAATTATCCGACCCTAGCCGACCCATATTTAATATGTATTAAAAAATGGGTTAAGCGACGAATAATATAGATATCCATATTGTCCAATATCCATGGCTTTTGAATATGATCACTTTGGGTCAAAATTCCTAGTCTCCCAAAAAATTGATGAACCCCAATTTGAAGCTTTACAAATATAAAAATCAAACCCATTAGCTATCCATTGGTCATTATCTATTTTCTAAGTGGATAATATGGTTCTATCCATATTTGACCCGTTTTTAAAAAGTACATTATTCAACCCATTTTCTAATGGATAATATGGGTATCAACTATTTTCTTTTATCCATTTTACCATCACAACTCTGAAGGTATCTGAAAATGCAGAAATTTGGACGTTTGAGAGGAAGACCAAAATTGAGTCTTGAGATCATCCATCTATCAGGAGACTTGTAATTAATTAAAGGGTTTTCCGGGGGGGAAAACTAACAAATTAACAAGACCAATCTTTTCATCCAATGGAAGAAATATGCAATATAGTGCATCGAAGCCAATTTGTGCATGGTTCCTAGGCGTGGTGTTCGTTCTCTTTTACCTAAATGGTTTATAAAAAATAAGAACTTGTTTTGACTATGATCATTAATCAGTTTCGGTACAGCAGCTAACGACATATTTTAGTACAACAATGTAAAGAATTAACTTTCAAATAAATGAATATAAAGAATTTGTGTTAGTTTTTGTAAGTATCTACATTTAACGACCTTAGACTCTTGACATTATTCTAACCTTTTTTTACATTAAATTAAATCATACCGTCGTCATTATTGACTAAAAAATAAATAATTCACGAGCCATCTTAAGTATGGAAAAAATGTAAGTTTACTGGATTATAACTGTTCTTTGTGAAAATGTACATTTAGGTTGTTTATAGTTTGTGCAGAATATTTTAAATATATGTCAAAAATAAAGATTTTAATAAAGCAATACCGTTGTTGTTTCTAGATAGTGGACAACTTTTCAAATCAAACGGAGTAACTAGTTTTATCTAGCGGAGCTACCTTATGTTAAGGCATGTCAGTTGATACTATTTGCTCAGAAAATTATAGTACTATTTAGCTAGGTCAAAAATATGCATTGACTCCCCTTTTTGTGCGTGTACTATTTTATACGTTAACACTAAGACCTTGTTTGACCATGAAATATATACCTTTTTCGAATTTTTTTCACTTTTTTGTGAAATCAGTACCATTTTCATTTGAAGATAAATTTTGAAACTTCTCGAAAATTTGAAAAATTCCAAAAAGTCGTTTTCCAAAATTTTTACTCAGATCACTCACAAAAATTTAAAAACAACCCAAAATTATATTCATGTCCAAACACAACTTTAATTTTCAAATAACACTTACAAAAAATTTCACCTTTTTCGATTTATAATTCTTATGTCCAAACGCCCACTAACAACTTGTTTGGATGGTTGTTACCTATTGTATCGTATTGTTACTTAAAATACAATGTTTGTTTTGATTGTCACTCAAATTTTATTGTCGTATCGTTAAATCCGTCGTTACGTAACGATGAAATGCACCACTTTATGTAACGACCGATTTGGTGTGGTCGCGTTGTTACCTTGTCTTTTTCTCTCAATCTCACCCTTCATTGTTATTAAATAATTTTATTTTATCATTTACCCTACCTTTTTATATACCGTATCATAATTTTTTTTATAGTATTGCAAGTTTATTCATCATATTACTGGTGCATGATACCATGAAACGAAATTAAAACGATAGAATCCATCCAAACATTGTATTCATCAAACGATACAGTATATTATAATACGATACGATACATTATGAAACGATACATAACAACCATCCTAAAATTCTTATTTCACCGTGTGCCAATGAGGGGGCATAAATGTAACGAAATTACCAAACCCTAAATGAGGTAACGTTGAATGGAGCTCCACAAATAGAGTCTCAGCTAAAGCGCGAAAGCCACGTGGATAGAGACATTGTTGCTGACGTGTACATTTAATCATAGCCTCCCTATTTATACTCTTCATTCTCATCCATTTCCAGGCAGTGCCCCCACTCTTCTCACGCTTTTCTTTGTCAAATCTCAATCTAAATCCACAAACCTATACATACAAAAGGGCATACACATCTTTTCCATTTTAACTGTTTTTCACTTGGATTTCATTGATCTAGCGTTTCAACAGCACACTGGAGTGTGCTTGTATGACTATTTGAGGATCGGATTCTGGATTGGTTCTCGATTTTCTATCCTCTCTTGGCTCGAGATCCGAGCCAAGAACAGAGGAATTCGTTTCGTTACACTGAGCTTTCCGGCTAGCTGATTAGCTAATCGAATCGGTCGTGCTCATCACTGTAGCCACTTTCAGTGCGGAGAGGTAAAAACGTGGACATAAATTGAATATGGAATGTATTCTGTGATTTTATTAACATTTGAAGCGGAGAGTTGATTGTTTGATGTGTGCAGGTTTTGTGAAATGGCATCGGGTGAGGGATTTCTGACTGAACAACAGAGGGAGATGTTGAATGTTGCACCGCCGAATGTGGAGGTTTTGTCATCTTCACCCAAGTCTCCCACTCTGAAGTCTCCAGGTACTAAATCCTCGTCCGTTCTATTATCGGAACATCACGTGAAGGCACCCGGAGGTGGGAAGGCATCCACAGCTGGAATTGCTGTGAGACATGTACGACGTACGCACTCAGGGAAACATATCCGTGTTAAGAAGGGTGAGTATTACTATTTGGCTGAATCATGGCGATATTTTACTTCTTCTCAAGTTTCTGTATTGAATTGTAGGCTCTGAATTATGACGGACTATCTTTTAATTCCCAGTCAACTGATTACATCCTGGTGCTTCTTACTGAGCTTAAGAGAAAAAGAAAGTTGTACTACTGTTTAACTGACTAAAATTTATATTGAATAATCGAAATAGAAATGCCATTGTAAATCCCTTTTGAAGGTAGGCATATAGAAAATTTGAACTTTTCTCCCGTTATTGTGGATTGATGTACTTTTTGGGACTTAATTGTTCCTAGTTTTAAAACAATCACGCTTATAGTTTTTTAAAAAAAAGCTACAGTGCGGTGAACTGCACATAGTGCTACCCTTTTTTTCCGTGTTATGTGATACTCTAAGAGTTCTTGGCCGGAGGTGAACTTTAGGATTTAAATTTGATGACTTTAACCTTGCAAGGTAGTTTACCACTCAGCCCTTGCATTTTGAAATTGTGGGTTCAAAATTTTGATATGTGTTGAAATTTTAGTGATTTTTTGACATGCATTTTTCATTTCGTGTCAAAAAATGTCGAGTCCAGTTAAACTTATGCTCCCACTATGCGTACCCTGTAACACCTATGTTTTACCTCATACAATATCAATAATTTCGGAAAGGACTTATTGGGTCAAGAGCATGGTCTAGGTCAAATGAAGTGAAAAGTTACTTGGGCGAGCAAGGTTCAATCCAAACGGAGATAAAAAATAGTGGGTGATTCTTCTTATCTGGTTAAGCATGGTGGGCAGAGTTACCCAGTGTCTATGCTGGTGAGAGGTAGCATGTGCCCATCGAAGTGTGCCCAAGCTGGCCCAAACTCTACTTCTATTACTCAAATTTTCCTAATTCGTGACATTCTTTCTAAACGTCTCAAATGTACTTTGAACTCCAGCGAACACCACCATTGTTACTCACTCTAGTAATAATGTTCAATACGATTTTTCATGAGTTCCAAAGATTTCAATTCATTTGACAAGTCCTTTTTAGATCTGGAGGTGATGTAGTCTTTATCTTGTTAAGTTTTCAGTAAGCTGGAGGTGATGTATTCCTTATCTTGTTAAGTTTTCAGTAAGTACTACAAGTTTCTTTTATTACTAATATAACGCACATATCAAGTTATTATCTTGTAAATGGGTGGAATACTCGGGAGAGGGGCGATAGAGCTCTTTTATCTTTGCCAAGCCAAATGGCACTGAAATAAAGTAGGGAGGATGGAATGTATGTTTTTTGTGGGGTGGGGACCTTTCATGAGTTTTCGTGGATATGTGAGCATTGTGTTCTATTAATGCTAAGATTTAGTTTATGTTTACCTACAAGCAGTGTTGTCAAAAGCGAAAAGCATTAGAAAGTGCTCCAGGTCTATTGAGGCTTTATGCGCAAACTGCAATTGAAGTTTTGGCAGTTTAAGAAGGCGCAACAAAGAAAACCATAAAAATATATATATGTAATGCAATAAAAAAGTAATAGGCTAATAGCTTCATTCATGTTGATTTTCTTAACATATAATATGTGTTTTTGCCGATAATATTAAAGATTTTATACTATTTTATTCAAGATAGAACTCGTGGTCAATTAGGCGCATATCTTAGTGCCTTGCCTACATTGAACCGCAGCGTAAGGAACGCAAACCACCTAGCCCGAGCTTCTCTGAGCTTTAGGGCTTAAGCATGCCTCAAATGAGCCTTTGACAACAGTGCCTACCAGCACTTTAGATTTGTCATATTCATCGTGCGAAGATCTAACTAGTAGGAGCTGAAGTTCATTAGTAACAATCTTGCCTGAGGGCGCATGAGTGATAGTCCAAGCATTTTTCTGACATTAGTTTTACAGGTGATTGGTTTTAATTGTTCGGTTCTCTCTCTCTCTCTCTCTCATGTTGGTTTAACAGGTTTGCAGCTCTAGCTGAGTGACCTTTTGAGGTACTACGGTACTAGCCTAGGCTTTGGTATCATCCTTCTTGTCTTTCCTCATCCTCCTGAACCCTTACCAATTGATTTTCCAATAGTTTGAAGCCTGGAAATTGAGAAATGGCATCCCTTTCTCTTGCGACTTTATTGTGTTCTCGAATGCAAAAGCATGCGGCTTGTATGCTTTCTTTAAAAATTTCCTTTTCTGTCCATATACTGAATGCTTTTCTTTATTTGATGGTGAGAAACAGATGGTGCTGGTGGTAAAGGCACTTGGGGAAAACTGCTCGATACTGAAGGTGAATCTCATCTTGATAGAAATGATCCGAACTACGACAGTGGTGAGGTGCGTCTTGCGAGTTATTCAACTATACTTCTTAGGTGAAAAAAGTAACTTTAAATTTGTTGTATCGCATGTTACATTAATCTCCGTTGGAGTACTGAAATCATTTTTTGGCAATATTACATTGTACAATGGACCATAATGCCTTCCCTCAGGTTCTAAAATCTTGCAAATATTATGTACGCTATACAATATTGGATTAGAATGCAAAAGAAAAGGTAATTAGAAGAATGAGAGGGAATCATTGGTGAGAAAGAAATAATGCAAAGGAAATTAATGTATACACTTTATTCTAAGTATCATGATTGTATAGAAAACAGCAGAAGTATAGGTTCATAATGATAGTATATTTCAGTACTAAGTTATTTTTCTAAGTGCACCTAATGTATATCCAATGCAGCATGATTAATTTCTTGTTGTTTCTTTCCTGTCTATTTATATCTGTCTCCGTAGCTACCGATTTGTTATGGCTCCCAGATACCTTTCTACTGATTCATAAAACAGCAGAGAATTGGGTCCTAAGACTCAGACACCTTTTCCACTGAGGAACCTACTATATCCCTAAGCCAAGGCTCCCAATTGTTTCCTTGAAATACATGTAGTCCACGTATTTTCTATATGCCATACTTAAATCGAATTTTAATGGTAGTGAGCATGGTCATCAAAAGAAACATTACTGGTGATGAGAAGTATTTTAAATTTAAATCCTTAGAGTTATAATCACATATGACGGGAAGAACTTTTGTTCTCTCTCAAAGAAAAAGTAGAGAGGACACAAAATACATATCCTAGTTAAAGAAAATTCTAATTTCCATCAGGAAATTCCATCTTTTCTGAACCAATTGATTTATTTTTACCTGTATTGCTAAGATTGATCAGTGTATTAGAATACTGTCTCAGTAATATTTCATGAGGATTTTATATTAATGCTATATTCCTCCTTTACTGTGAATGAACAGGAGCCATATGAGCTTGTAGGAACTGCTGTGTCTGATCCATTAGATGATTATAAGAAATCAGTAGTATCAATTATAGAGGAATACTTCAGCACTGGTGATGTGGAACAGGCTGCGTCTGATCTCAAGGAATTAGGTTCAACTGAGTACCACCCATATTTTATTAAGAGGCTTGTTTCTATGGCAATGGATAGGCATGACAAGGAGAAGGAAATGACTTCAGTTCTTCTTTCCACTCTTTATGCCGACATCATCAGCCCTACCCAGATCAGCCAGGGGTTTTACATGCTTCTGGAGTCTGCTGATGACTTGTCAGTGGACATACCAGATACTGTTAATATCCTTGCTTTATTCATTGCACGGGCTGTGGTCGATGACATTCTTCCACCAGCTTTTATTGCCAGAGTCAGAAAAATGCTCCCAGAATCCTCCAAGGGGTTTCAGGTGTTGCAAACTGCGGAGAAGAGCTATCTCTCAGCTCCACACCATGCAGAACTTGTAGAGAGGCGCTGGGGTGGCAGCACCCAGTTTACTGTTGAGGAAGTCAAGAAAAGGATTGCTGAACTATTGAGAGAATATGTTGAGAGTGGAGACACTGTTGAGGCCTGCAGATGCATAAGACAGTTGGAAGTTTCTTTTTTCTATCATGAAGTTGTCAAGAGAGCTCTAGTTTTAGCCATGGAGATGCGGTCTGCTGAACCACTTATTCTAAAACTTTTAAAGGAGGCTTCAGAAGAGGGTCTTATAAGTTCCAGTCAAATGGCGAAGGGCTTTGCTAGGTTGGCCGAGAGTATTGATGATCTTTCACTGGATATTCCTTGTGCTAAAACATTGTTCCAGTCAATTGTTCCACAGGCAATCTCCGAGGGGTGGCTTGATGCATCTTTTCTGAAAACCTCAGAGGAAAATGGGCAAGCAAATGGTCAGGATGATGAAAAAGTGAAGCAATACAAGAAACATATCGTTAGCATAATCCAGGAGTATTTTCTTTCAGATGACATTCCGGAGCTAATCCGGAGTCTTGAAGATTTGGGGCAACCTGAGTTCAACCCTATTTTTCTGAAGAAGCTAATCACCCTTGCCATGGACAGGAAAAACAAGGAAAAGGAAATGGCATCTGTTTTGCTTTCTGCACTTCATATTGAGATTTTTTCAACTGAAGACATAGTAAATGGATTTGTGTTGCTACTGGAATCTGCAGAAGATACAGCTCTTGACATTTTAGATGCTTCCAATGAACTTGCTCTTTTCCTTGCTAGGGCCGTAATAGATGATGTCCTTGCTCCACTGAATTTGGAAGAGATATCGAACAGGCTGCCACCAAATTGCAGCAGTGGATTGGAGACCGTCTGTACGGCTCAATCACTTCTATCTGCACGGCATGCTGGAGAAAGGATCCTGAGGTGTTGGGGTGGTGGGACTGGATGGGCTGTGGAGGATGCTAAGGATAAGATACAAAAGCTCCTTGAGGAATTTGAAAGTAGTGGTGTTCTCAGCGAAGCTTGCCAGTGCATACGAGATCTTGGAATGCCATTCTTCAATCATGAGGTAGTGAAGAAAGCTTTGGTTATGGCAATGGAGAAGAAGAATGATAGGATGCTGGATTTGCTGCAAGTGTGCTTTAATGAGGGGCTTATCACCATCAACCAGATGACTAAAGGCTTTGGGAGGATCAAGGATGGGCTTGATGATCTGGCTCTTGACATTCCCAATGCAAAGGATAAATTCACGTTTTATGTGGAGCATGCCAAAGAAAGAAGCTGGCTGTTACCATCCTTTGGGTTATCTGATGATGCATCTTAATGAAAAGAATCATATACATTAGCTTGTGACATCTCTGTTTGTTGTTCGTTGTTGCCTTCTCTAAGTAGCTCGTGCCGTTTTGTTGGGACTGGTGAATGGACACGGACTGTCCAGTCCCTCCTAATAACTCTTTTTTCTTTTAAGTTTCTTGTATGATGGATATTTGTTGATGTAAAAATTAGGCCTCTCATGTGTTCATCTACTGTAGTGGTAAACGCATACTGCATTACCGTCCCTTACTGTCTTCCATAAGGGTGTTAGTACAGATCGTTAACAATAATCCTGCATTTACCGAAGTTAATCAATTTTTGGTCAATTCTACAATATTTTCTTGCTTAAAGCCATTTGTTTTTTTGATATGAATGACCAAGATGTTCAGAGAGCCAACGGGGATTTACCATCCATCATTATCTAGCGAGAGAATTCAAATGTCAAATTTTACCTTTACGAAAGCTGAAATCATGATGATTTAGCATATAAGAGAAATTAGTGTATAGAAAAGCATGGTTAGTTTACAGGTGATTTGTCTCGAAAAGCAAAAAAGAGATATCATCCGATTCAAAATTTTAGTTTCCCAGCATATAAGAGAAAATAGTGTATAGAGTAACTTTCTAGATGTCCCATTTATCCTAAATCTATTATCTTGCCACTTATTTTGAGATTTCTTCAAATTAAAGTTAAGATTATTTATCTGCTTGTATGCAGAATATACATTTCGAATCTATTACGTTAAACTTTTTGTTCAAATAAAATTGAACACCAAATAAATTGGGATGAATAAAAGATTTTTATATAAGCTCTACTTACTTGGTGGAAAAAAATATATCTACTTACTACTAGGACTAGCTTGTCTTATGCGGCTCAAATTCGAGTTAGTCGGACTCCAAATTGAGTATGAGATATCATGTGAGAAAAAAGGCAAATTAAAATACAAAAGTGATTGGTCGATCGAAATTAATTATATTTGCTAGTCAAAAAGTGTATTAGGTATATATATTATATGTATATAATACATATATATAAAATATATATTGTCGCCTATTTATTTTAGGAGCATCTAAACTTTAAAAATATATTTTTTATTAAAAAAACCGGTTCCAAAAAGACCGAGAGCTTCATATATAGAGCACCTTATTCCTCCCAAAATTCAATGCTTTTCTTGTTATTTCACGCAATCCTCCTCCCTCGACACCACTCACCCGCATTATGTAGAGAATTTCCCATAACAAACCTTCTGTTCAAAACAAGAAACCCACTTTTTTACGTGTAAATATATCCATTTTTCATATCATGCAAGCATGAAGATAAATCTTCAGAAACTGCCTCTAGCCATCAAGCCTTTCATCCTTTCCCTCTTTCTCTCTCTATCCTTCTTAGCCTTCCTTTCTTTACAAACTCCACGTCACTCTCTCCAAAAACCCACCACCGCTAACCTCCCACCGGATCTCCGAATCCGACCCGGTTATTCTTCGTACGATGCATACATCGAGCGCCAGCTCAACAAGACCCTTAACCCGAAACTCCGACAAATCTGGACAACCCGGGATTGGGATCGCAAAGTCCGCGTCTTCTCCGAATTCTTCGAAAATTTGAAGCTTCGAGGTTTCTTATCTAATAACTCAAAAGCTCTTTGCGTTGGTGCACGGGTCGGGCAGGAAGTGGCGGCACTAAAACGGGTCGGAGTTAACGATTCAGTTGGCATTGACCTGGTACCTTATCCTCCGTTAGTGATTAAAGGTGATTTTCATCATCAGCCGTTCGATGATCGGACTTTTGATTTAGAGTTTTCAAATGTGTTTGATCATGCGCTTTATCCATGGAAGTTCGTCGGGGAGATTGAACGGACGTTAAAGCCCGGCGGGATTTGCGTGTTACACGTGGCGTTATCTAGACGGGCTGATAAGTATTCGGCTAATGATTTGTACAGTGTGGAGCCACTCAAGGAATTGTTCAAGATGTGTGAGCTGGTTGAGGTGAGGCGCATTGATGGATTTGGGTTGGATACTGAGGTGGTTTTTAGGAAGAAGAAAAAGTAGAAAACGAAACAAATTCATTTTTGTGAATCTTATATGCATTAGGTTTTTAATTTGCTTTTACATTACTTGTTAAATTCTTTTATTTATCTCTAATTTCCTTATAGGAGTATTTGATTGTTGAAAACATACAATGTAAAAAATAGGAATTATATACTCCCTCCGTTCCAATTTATGTGAATCTGTTTGACTGGGCACAGAGTTTAAAAAAAATGAAGACTTTTGAAATTTGTAGAAAAAGGGGGCCAGAGTATTTGTGTGGTTATAAAAGCTTCTCATTAAAGATAGAATTGTAAGTTTAAGCTAAATTGCTTCCAAATTTAGAAAGGGGTTATTCTTTTTGGAACGGACCAAAAAGGAAATAGGTTCACATAAACTGGAACGGAGGGAGTATCTATTTTATGTGAAATTATTTTCTTTTTAATTAGTTTGTCACATTTTTGTATTACTTTTATTTGGGCAAAATATAAATTGGTCGGTCTTATATAAAATAGGTATGTTATATCTTTATCCTATTATATATATGTAGTCAAACCTCTCTATAACAACCTTGTTTGTTCCGAAATTTTTTGGATGTTATAGCGAAATGTTGTTATAGAGAATATATATTATACAGTCAAACCTCTCTATAACAGCCTCATTTGTTCCGAAATTTTTTGGATGTTATAGCAAAGTGTTGTTATGGAGAACATATAATATAACATAACATAAAAATTAGTTCCGAAAAAGCTTGGCTTTTGTAGTGAAGTGTTATTATAGAGGGATGCTGTTATGAAGAGGTCGACTGTATACAAAAAAAGATTTGCCGAGCATTGGTTTTGGGAGCGGCTAGAAATGGCGTGGCTTAGGGTTGCCTCTGAAATTACACATAAGACCTTTCATAAGAAGCACAATAAGCAACATCAAGGATAAATGAGTAATTTACCAAGCACACCTCAAATTGCTGAAATATACCACTATTGACTAAAGTAGCGAGAAATTACTTAACAGTACATGTTTTTATGCGAGGTACTATAATTTTTTCTTTTTCCGGAATTAAGCCATAGAAAAGCAAACTCGAAAAAAGAAAATTATTAGTAAATGAAACCATTAGTCCTAAAGAAGACAAAGGATAATACAATTTGCTTGCCTTTTAAATATGTTGAGGAGACATCGATATGTTCAACCAATTAACGACCTCCTCTATTTGTGTAGTAGAAAAGTTAAATTCGTTAAGTCACGGATTCGGAATGAATAAAGTTCAAAAGGGACCACTACAATTATGTACATATTTTATACTATATAAATAGAGAGAGATTCCATAGGAATAATGCCTTCAAAACAATTTTTTTTTTGAAATAAGGAAAAATAAAAAACTAAGGACAACCCTACGGATGCACACAACACAACAAAAGACAAGAGTCATGTGGATTGCATCAACTTCCAACCTAAAAGTCATTGGCAATTGGATTTAAATTAAATGAACAAACAGTAAAGAAAATTTAAAAATGCAGTTTAACTTGTTATAATGGTTTAATTATCACTTTTATCATATTACTAATTAACGTTCATACCAAAAAATTTCTTGTTAAATTAACTTAATAAATGACTCATTTTGTAAAATACTTTTTATTTTCTGTGCATAAAATTTAAACACTTGCCAATTAAGTTGTATGTTATGCTATAATTTGCCAATATCTAAATGTGATAATTGAGAACCGTATTTCTTTACTTGATCAATTCTTGCCATAATGTGGCTTTAATATCTGCCTGCTATCACATCAAACTGAAATATTAAAAAAAATTGGTTGAATTTCAATTGGATACCTTTTTCTCGGTTCCAAGTACAACTCAAGCTTAAAGTTACAAGAGATCATTCAGTGTGCATTGGAAACTTGGATTCATGCACTTCCTTTGTAAAAGTTTAATGCAACAAAATTGAATTAATGGGGTAACCACTAAGGTTCAATGTTTTTTGCAAAAATAGTAGGAAGTGTAAGCTTAGATAAAGTTCCTAATTTAATTTACAATAAAGAATATATATGGAAGAAAGCTTTACTCATCAGTAAAAGTTTTGTTAGAAGTCTTTGCTCTTTAATCCATGCTAATTGCTATGATGATTTTGCAATTTTCACAAGCACAAATAGGCAAAATAAATAAGTATACTGCATTTCGTAGAAAGATGGAGAATTTTGGGCTTTAAAATACTCTGTTTAGCTTCATACACTTGCCCATAAAAAAGTTTCAAACTTGAAAACCACCCCATCCCAAATGACACTTATTATCGCTGTAAAAATAATAACCGAAAAATTGTATAAAATATATATATATATATCTGTATGTTACAAAAATTATACAAATTTTATATACTTTTTCGGCTATCAGATGTAAATAGTTTCTGGCGCGGGCTAAAAGTGATAATACCCCAGTAGGGTATGGGCTGGCATAATCGAGAATAAGGTTAAAACAGCACGAGCTAGCCAGTTTTGGATTGGTCATTGAAAAATAGCCAGCGTTTACAAAGTCATTGAAAAATAGCCATTATTTTGCTGCAACAGGGACCGGTCCAGCATAATATACTGGAGATCGGTGCACCTGTGTATGAACTTCCAGTATATTATGCTGGAACTCCAACACGCGGAAAGTTCCAGCATAATATACTGGAGATTGGAGCACCTGTGTATGAACTTCCAGCATATTATGCTGGACCGGTATATTATACCGGAACTCCAGTATATTATGCTAGAGTTCCAATATACTTATGCTGGAACTCCCTTATAATATGCTAGAGTTCCAGTATACTTATGCTGGAACTCCAGTATATTATGCTGGAGAACTTTTCGGATTTTGAACAGTGTTTTCGTTCAAATATATCTTTACATGAAAAGTGGCTAAATTTCAATTACTTTTGAAACTATGACTATTTTTGAATGACCACTTGTAAATTCGGCTATTTTTTAATTTCTCCCGACAATGAGCGAAGAGCACAAGTAGCATTTTTTTAGTACCCCTATTTAAGGAATAGTCAAAATTTATGAAATTTTAAAGTTTAACTGCCTCAAAATCAACTTCCAGCTCGGAGCTCTCATTTGCAAAATTGACCAAATGTTAACTAACTGTGGAAGTCCATAATTTCTAGAGGATTATTTCCTAATATTGCTTTGGACCAACAGGTGTCGTGCACGATCTACTTTGCACGTTTCATCCTTCAGCCCTTCACTTATCGTCTTCGCAGGCAAGCTATCTTGCTCTGTCTTCAATTTTATAACTCATACCGAATTATGGCCTATGGGATCAAATTTTATAAACCCCAATAGATAAAACTAGTGAATTTAGAAGGATTAATTTTCGTAGTTGTCGGTTGTAATGATAGATGGCCTATAAATAGATAGATCCCCTCTTCTTTTGTTTCTGTATTCTCTCTTACATGTTCCACATTATTTTGTAATATTTAGGGATAGCAAGCGGTGCGGGTTTTGTCTTAACCCACAAAATTTCAACCCGTCCCGCATTGCATTTGTACCTGCGTCCACACCTACTTCCACCCGCCCCGCCCCGCTTAATATTTCTCTCTTTTATTTTGCTATTTTTATTTCTTTTTTTATCTTTTGGCTGGAATTGTTCATACTTTTACTATGTAATCTCATACTTTTTACTAATTTTAAAGATTATGTGAGGCTTCAGCTAAGAAAAGAACAAATGAGAATTACATCTTGCACATATAAAATAAAAGTTACTTAACATAAATCTTTGATATCATAAGAACTCTTTAATTTTTAACTTTTTATATTTGAACAAGAGTATATGTTATTTTTATCGAATTCAAGCTTGCATTAGAAATTGGAAAAGACCTCCGACAAAGATCGATTAATAGATATTTTCATGTTTGTTATTCAGTAGTTATACTCACGAGTATTTGAGCAAAATTAAAGGATACTACTTTGATTAATAAAAGGAATTTTTACACCCTATAGAAAACCTTAGTACCCTATTTATCAATAATAAATACCATTTTAAAATATTACATCCTATAAATACCTTTTATCCTTTATAGCAAAAAATCTAAATATAGTTACATCCTACAATTAAGGCACCATATATGTTAAATATTATTTTTCTCTCCCCCTTTTTGTATTTTCTCTCACATAATTACCGCGTATCTGCAAACCCCAATACAATCTCTCTCTGTTTGCATACAACCAGACTCTCTTCTCCCACAAACCCTAGTTTCTTAACTCTTCTCCCACCCAAATTCTCAATTTTCTGCTCCGCGTCACCAACGTTATCATCAGCCATTGTCTGAGCCGGAATATGAGCAACCACACTCGCGTACTTCACAGATTGCATCCACGGTGGAGAAACCTCCTGGGCCGTTGGAGGCAATTAGGAGGTCCGGCGGCCCAATTGGAGGAGTGTTCATGTATCAATGGAACAAAACGGGTATAAAAGAGTAAATTTGGATGAAATGTGTTGATGAAACACAGGGATCAAAAGATTATATGAAAATGTTTATGAGTTTTGGAGAGATTGGCGGGTGGGTTACAAGATCCAGAAAAGCTAGAAGTGGGGAAGAGAGAAGATGAAGAAGAAGCAGAGAGAGAAGAGAGCAAAGTTTACTAGGAGCCGTTGCGGGTAGCAACGGCTGCGATTTCTTGCACCAGAACTTCCAAGGCTGGGGTTTTTGTAGATGTGTTAGGGGCTGACCAGCCGGAATTAATGGCTGGCCGCCGGCCGGCGAAGCCATAAGGTTGTTTCTCTCTCTAGATCGCCCAAATCGCCTATTTGTATTCAGTTGTATTCGAATGTATTCTTCAGCTGTATTCACTTGTATTCAGGTTTAATCAGTTGTATTTAACTATTTTATTCAGCAGTAGTTAGTTGTATTCAAGTGTTTTATACAACTGTATTCAGTTGTATTCAGTTATATTCAACTATTTTATTCAGCAGAAGTTAGTTGTATTTTGTTGCATTCAAGAGTTTATTCAGCTGTATTCAGTTGTATTTTTGTTGTATTCAAGTGTTTTATTCAGATGAATTAAGGTGTATTTTGTTGTATTCAACTGTATTATTCATATGTATTTCTCTTTATTCAGCTATAATCTTTATTATGTATCTTTCAAATACAGATTAATGAGGGATCGTTTTAGTTCGTTGAGTTAAATTAGGAGAATATCATGTGATTTTATTTCCTTCCGTTTTTAGCGTAGATACGTTACTGTATTTAATGTTACGCCTATATTTTTGGCTGTATTTAATGTTAATGTCGCTTGAATACAGCTAAATACATGTCAAACTTAGCTGGAATTCCAGATTTTACGCCTATATTTTTGGTTGTATTAATGAATACAACAGCTTAAATACATGAAATACATTGTATAAAAACATAAAAGGTATCTATAACACGTAATATAACAAATGATATCTATAAATGGTTAATTAGACCAAAAAGATGGTGCTTTATGAAAAGTTCTCTTAATAAAATAGAGTTAGAACTAATTGAGAATTATGTGTTAAATGTTAAAGTTTTAGAACTTTTCATAAAAGGATAGAATTTGACGTACAAACATTATGAAACTTCTACTATTTTGTTTCAATAACGTGGGTTTCATCTCCAGAAAGGTAGAAAAATGGGTTTTCTTCCTTGCTGAAATTTTTAAACCCGCACCGACCCCGCGAAATAAAAAAGAAATTATTTTGCGCCGCCCTCCCGGCCCCATTGTCATCCCTAATAATATTCTTCAAATTAAGCTTGATTAGAGAGACCATCTCCTCTTTTTTTTTTTTTGGGTCTCAATTTTCTCTCTACTTCCTTAGTTTTACTAGTAGCACTCTTTTATTTTTCATTATGTGGTACACTTTTCTTTTTTAATTTTTCCAAAGAGTTATTTTTACATTTAAAAATAATTTAACATCAAGTTTATATTCTCTTCATAAAATGGACTTAAAGTCAACACAAATATTTGTGGCTAATTTTAGTGAAGTATAAAAAAGAAAGACACGTACCACAACTAGAGGCGGAGCTAGCCTATAGTCACTTTTGTTAAAACGTTATATTTATATAAGAAAATTCATTAATTTAATTGTGTACCGTATAAATAAGACTAACTATGAGTTGTGCCACAAATTCAGAACCCAAAAAAATGCGGGCCTACTTCAATTGTGTGTTATGCTTTGGGGCCGGGTAGGGTCATGGGGCGGATAACATATGGTTGGAAAACCGTTATTTTCCAACCAAATGAAATGAAGCAGCTATACTCTGAGATAAACGAGTGGTAGTGGATTTTGAGGAGCAACAATTCCAATGGCGTTGAGGGTTGTCTCTTCCCCAACCATCTTTTCTTCTTCACAAAGAAGAGCAGCTTCTGTTCTTCCATCCACAGTCACATTACCCAATACAAACAGCTCCCTACTCTCTTCAAAATCAGTAGCTACTCTTCTTAATAGCAAGAGTAAGACGAGTAGGCGTAATATTGGTGTGGTGGTTACGTGTTCTGTTTCGCCTTCGTCGGAAGCCTCAGTTCTCCCAAAGGCACTCCTCTTTGACTGCGATGGTGTACTTGTTGATACTGAGAAAGATGGTCACCGTATTTCCTTCAATGACACCTTTGCTGAGGTACACTTTCACTACTCCCTTGAAATTGAACGGTTGATTTCATGCCGAATTTTTTATATAAGGATCAATGGTGTTTGATAGAACTGTGATTGTTCAAAAGAGTGATTTTGTTGTCTGATTTCTTCTTATTTTTGTTGCTAACCTTTTGATCATAAGGATTCACTATTTTCATGGTACACAGAAGGAATTGGGTGTAACTTGGGATGTGGATTTGTATGGAGAATTGCTCAAAATTGGAGGTGGAAAAGAAAGGTAACGTTAGAGGAATGTGCAGTTAATTTTTCCCCAATTAGGAGAGAAACGGAAACGTAGTGTCTTTGTTTTTTTTCTTGTTGTTGTTATTGTTGGTTGCTTTCTGGTCACTGTTACTTAAGCCGAGGGTCTATCGGAAATAACATGTCTATCTTCGTAAGGTAGAGGTAAGGTATGCGTAAACACTAGCCTCCCAGATCCCACTTGTGGCATTACACTGGGTTTTTTGTTGTTGTTGAGAGAAACGGTTTGTCTAAAGTTCCAGCTTAACATTTCATTCATACAGTGGCCTTGAATTGATTTGATTGTGGTTGACTTGGGTTGTTTAGGATGACAGCCTACTTTAACAAAGTGGGTTGGCCAGAAAATGCACCAAAAACTGAAGAAGAAAGAAAGCAGTTTATTGCTGGACTTCATAAGCGAAAGACAGAACTGTTCATGGCTCTTATTGAGAAAAAATTGCTGCCACTTCGGCCAGGTGTTGCAAAGTGAGCTCTTTATCTTTATCACATTATGGAAGTAACATATTTTACATAGATATTGATTTGCAAATATCTGTTTTACTTTTTTAACATCAAATGAGAATATTTTCTGTTTCTTCTTTAGTGATTACTATTTTATTTATGTCACTTGTATATGTACAAGGTTCTTAAAGATTCAGCCATGAAATATTTCTCCACCATATGCGTTGATGTTAGAATGAAGTGTGCACATACTGTGTTTTGCCAATATTAAGAGTAAAGTAAGTCCAAGTTGATCACTCCAACTTTTCTCATTATTTACACAAGAAACTAATGAGGAAATTGGTCCGCTTTACTGTGCTTCTCTCCTGTAACCTAAAGTCCATCCTTTCTATGGAAGTTACAATACACTCTGGAGCTTCAGTAATCCAGAATTAATCATTTTGATTATTAGTTAATGAGTTTCATTTTCCTTTGAGATGAACGTATTCTTCTCCATATGCTTTGAACATATGCAGTCTTGACCCAGGACTACATTCTTTTTCTTCTTCCTTTTTGTTTCGAGCATTTAGTGCAACTATTCAAGGATATAACAACTATGCAGTAAGTTCTCTCTAGGCTCCGAGGTTTTCAGGGTTGAAGACTCTTGTATCTGTCATATTTAATATATTTATAGAATAATAAATCAAAATCAGTTATGATATTCAATAGAATCTTAATATGAAAAACTCACTATGGTTAACTTAGACCTATTGAACCTTAAATTATATGGATAAAATTCAAGAGTCAGAATAATTTTCCTTAAGATTGTTCTTCTCCAGATTTTAAGAGTTTTGAACTAAATGTTACAGGTTGGTTGATCAGGCTCTGGGTAATGGAGTGAAAGTTGCAGTATGCAGCACTTCCAATGAAAAGGCGGTATGAGTAATCAGGTTCTAAAGTGTTCGTATTATGTGCCAATGTCGAGTCTTTTGACAATTATCTGCTATTAAAGGTTGCCGCTATGCTCAGAACTTTTTGTATCCCTGTGTGGTGTTTACTAATTTATCCTAATAAAGAACCATGAGTAAATAAATGGGCATATATTTAACCATTTTACCTTTTGATGAAAATGATATGGGAAGCTATTGACACATTTAAAATCATAGGAAGGGATCTACTCCAGGAAAAATTCATCTAATATTAAAACTGCTAGGTTTTCCTTTTTGCTCCTATTGAATTGGTTACTGCACAAGATGCTAATCACTGGCTTGCTATCTGGAGTTGCTCATCTGTTGGAAAAAATAATAAAGAAAAAAATAAACAGAAAATAAAGCACTGGCGTGGATTATTTGTTGTCACCATCCTAAGATAATGATTTGTTTAGTGGTCATAATTTGAAGTAAATCTGCTGAAATTCAGGTCTCAGCGATAGTCTCATGCTTGTTGGGACCAGAGCGAGCGGAAAAGATCCAGATATATGCGGGCGATGTGGTTCCTCGAAAGAAGCCTGATCCGGTAAATATCCCATCCCTCAAATATTTATTCAATGTTTCTGGAGTGGGAAGACAAATCCATTTGTTCAGAAATTAAGAAGCACAAAGAAACTTCATTAGGTGATAGTCTCATCTTCCTCATTATCTGAAATTTTGAAAATATATGTTCCATTAGCCTTCTCTATACTTCTTTCGCTCTCTGAAGTCCATTAATGTACAAAGATGATCTGCCAACTCTGGCGTATAGCTATTTTAAATGTATGAATTGTGGCTTTCTCTTCAGCAAGTTGCAATAGAACTTCAATTTGAGGAGACACGTAGTCTCTAGTACTGTCGTAGCAGTGAGATAAGTCTTTAGATGTTTAATACCATATACTTTCTTCCTGGCAGGCCATTTATCTGTTAGCAGCCGACACCCTTGGGGTTGATCCTTCAAGGTATTCTACACATAAAGATTATACTTGAATTGGGAACTAACATTATGACACCTTTGAGAAGTTATATGATTATACATTGAAGCAGATAATAAATGCTTTTATTATATCATAGATCTTGCCGTTAGCATTTGCTACTTTTGACATTTTCTTTCTGACTGCAAAATATTGTTATGGTCTGCAGTTGTGTTGTTGTAGAAGATAGTGGCATAGGTCTTGCAGCTGCCAAAGCAGCTGGAATGAAGTGCATTGTGACTAAGAGTGGGTAAGTTACTTTTTTACTTGAACCAACCACCTCTGTCTCTCTTCCTCTCTTCCTGGTGCATATTTCAATTCTCTCTTTTTCAGCGATTCTTAACAGGAAGTCTTTTACTTAGTTTCTGGAATTCTATCTTGGTGAACATCTTGTTGAGGCATAACCTAAGCAGAAAACTTCATCATCAAACTGACAGCTTTTCAGAAAACCCTCTAGTGTTAATGAAGTTTATAGCCAAAAACGTAAAATATGTATGACAGGGAAGCAAATTGCTTGATATTACGAACTTGACTCATTCTCCCTAGGATATTTCCTTCAATGAAAATGGTTTTCCTGACTAGAGGCCTCTTAGCACTCAGGTGAACATGGTGAAGGTGGCAAGTTGTTCTAAATTTGACTGAAAAGGGTTTAAAGATAACATTTCTGCACGTCTAATTTATAAAAGACTGATTTTCTATCGGTGAGGCTCCATTTTAGATACTTGTGGATTGTTAGATGCACAAGGCGTGTGCTCTAGTTACTAAACTTGAAGTGCTTATCTTTTAAAAAGACAAGTTGGTGGTCTCTTTTAAATTAATCAAATTATATTTCAGTCTGTGAGGTAAGCATCTAATTAAGTGATAAGAAGGTACGATTATCATATATCGGATATTCTTGAAGGACCTACCGTAGGGTATTAAAAGAGGGATGCATCGTCTTGTTAGTGCTTTTACAGCCTTTGTGTTTTCCTTATGAACAAGTAGTTAGCATCTTTTGTCTATGTTACTTGCTCTTTCACCAGTGGTATATCTCTTGTTCTTTTACCATTTCCTGCACACCGTTTAGCCTGTGGTGAATATTGTTTGATTATATTTCGTGTTATATATGCATGTTATTTTGATACTGTTAACTAACTTCTATGCTGTCTCAGGTACACAGCGGACGAAAATTTCTTAAATGCAGATGCAGTTTTTGATTGCATTGGAGATCCTCCAGAGGAACGGTTTGACTTGGCATTTTGCGGAAGCCTTCTTGAGAAACAATATGTCAGTTAGTCCATCAGGCAATCTGATTGAATACACTGCCCTTGTTTATGGCATGTTTTGCTCACCACATATCATTTCATGTATTGTATCTCCACAATGACTGTTTAATAAAAAGCTTTATGTCATTTTATCTCTTGAGTCTTGATTCTTTCTCTGCTAAACAGCCTAAATCTTGTTCTTGGACATATTATGAATTTCATTTTCTTTTGGGGAACTGAGGAGAGGGGTAGATCAAAGGTAGATTTACTATTTGCATAGCTTAAAGACAGAACTTATACTAGGGATAATAATCAGAACATAATTTGAGGACATTAGCACATTCGTCGGATTTTTAACATAAATATCGATCTTACTCAATCTGCCAATTTTTAAGGCCGACTCGGCATACTTATAACTCTGGACAAATATGATCTTTTAAATATACCCAAAAAAAAGGAGACATTTTTGGTCTAGGATATCAGAATCTTAAAGAATATTAAACGTTAACATCATTATTCATGTATGGTCCTTGAGTTTGGGGTAGGTCCATATTTTGTCTTTCTTATATGATTACACAGAGCAGATGTAGCTTTTTGAGTTTACAAAATGAGGATATTTTGGTCTGCCTTACGAGATCACAACAAATTTTGAATGTCAAGGAAATTCGTACGATAATCAGTGCTCAGAACAACAAGCCACGTGTCTGGAACAAGTTTCAATGAAATCAGTTAAGGGAACAGCAGAGGAACATATGACTATCAGTTCCTCCGATCACAGTACAAGTCAACTTTTTAAAGTTGTTAAAGCTGCTGCTCTGTAGACGCAACAGTGCAGCAGTCCCTATTGAAGCATGTTGTGTACCGGACAAAGGCTTGCATCATCCTAGTGACCTCACTTATATATTACCAACATGAGGCAAGGGATCTCTAACACTTGCAAACCCTAAAATTGATTTCACTCTCAAGTGTGCAGTCGTCTTCATTTACTCCAAGACTTGAAGAACAAAGCAGCAACAGAACAAAGGACCAGATCCAAGCACTAAGTACATCGTGTGTCCTTAGTAGAAGCAACTTGTAGGATATCTTTGTAAACCATAAACCTTGTGTTTGTGTTTGACTAGAGTTAGTCAAAGTGGTGAGCTTTGTAATAGAGTTATTACAAAGAGGCTTGCAATATAGTTATAGCAAGTAGGTGAGGGATTAAAAGTTTAATTCCTATGTTACAATAGGTTGTAATCTGAAGTTGCTCGGTTAGTGAAATTAAAATCCTACGAGTGTAGGTCGTGGTTTTTAATCCCGTGAGCTGAGAGTTTTCCACGTAAAATATTGTTGTGTTATTTACTTACCGTTGCGTGTGTATGTTCTGTGGGAACTGATAGAGAACCAGGTTCTCGATACAGTTTGGTGGACCATTAGTTTACATCAATTGGTATTAGAGCAGGTTCTTTCTATAAGGCTAACACCTAGAAAGGATCTACATGGCTGCTCCACCAAATTTTGGAGAAGGTCAATCAACCTACAGACCATCAAACTTCAATGGACAATACTATTGATGGTGGAAGACAAGAATGCATGATTTCATCTTGGTTGAAGATTCAGGATCTAGGATGTCATCTGTGACGGGACCTTTGTACCTATGAAAACCATTGGCGAGACACCTATTCAAGTTCCAAAGTCAAGGAAGGAATACAATGATGTTTATCGCAAAGCCATTGAGAAAAACTTTCGAGCAAAGAAGATTCTCGTCTGTGGTATTGGACCAGACGAGTACAATCGAATATCGGTGTGTCAATCTGCCAAGGAGATCTAGGAGGCTCTCCAAACCGCACATGAAGGTACAACTCAAGTCAAGCAGTCAAAAATTGACATGCTCACTATTGAGTACGAACTCTTTAAGATGAAGGAGGATGAGCCCATTCTGGACATGCATACTCGCTTCACCTCCATCACCAATGAGTTTCATTCTCTAGGAGAGATTATCCCTAGGAACAAACTTGTCAGAAAAATACTCAGTGTGCTACCTGGCTCTTGGGAGAGCAAATTCAATTCTATCATGGAGGCAAAAGATCTGCAAAAGCTGACGATTGACGAACTCATTGTAAATCTGAAGACCCACGAAATGAAGAAGAAGAAGGATCATGAAAGAAGAGAACCCAAAAAGGAGAAGAATCTGGTTCTCAAAGCAGACAATAGTGACTTAAGTGTTGATGATGCTAACATGGCCTATTTGACACGCAGGTTTCAGAAAATGGTTCGTAGAAATGGAGGTATTCCAAAAAAGGACAGCTCTAGCAGAACAAAAAGGCTATGATTGATGTCACAAATACGGGAAGCTAGGGTATTTTATCAAAGATTATCCTCTCCACAAGTAGTACCATTACAAGCACAACACAGACAAGACGACTTAGAGGAACCTGGTTCCCAACAGGAAATTCAAGAGAAAATATGCTGCTGACAATGTTGTGAAACAAGGTCTTACTGCATGGGGAGATTCCTCTAGTGAATCTGAGGTCAATGATGAAGGAGGCGACACCTCCATGATGGTTGTTGAAAGCGAAGCAGCAGAATATGACTCTATTTTTCCCTTGATGGCAAGATCTGATGAGGATGAAGATGATGATGACGATGAGGTAAACTTTCTAGACGTTCAAAGAAATTTGAAGTCTTACTCTCAATAGAAGCTTGTATCTTTAGCTAATGTCTTGATTGATGCTTACCATAACCTTATCAATGATAAAAATATTTTAAATGAGGAACTAGGAGAGGTAGAGCATGAGAGAGATGATTTACTGATCGTAGTTATTGATTTAAAAGAAACCATTGAGGATTTAAAGAAAGAAAAGAATGTTCTAATTGAGAAAATTGAAAAGGTAGAACATGAGAGAGGTCACTTGTTGGTAGTAGTTGTGGATCTAAAGGAAACAGTAGAGCAATTAAAAAGGGACAATATTTCTGTAAAAGCTTCAATAGAAAATTGCATGAACTCTTCAAAAGGAAAGGAAGTGGTGAGTGAGGCACACCTTAAGCTTGAAAATGAACTCAAAAAGGTAAAATTGAGTCTTTGTGTTGAACTTGAAAGAAATAGACAACTTCAGAAAGATCTAAGCAGGGTAAAAAATGACCTAGATAAATCTCTGAAGTGGACCTGTTCCTCTAATACAATCACTTCCATGTATAAAAGTAATGGGGGAAAGACGCAGGGAATTGAGTTCCAAAAGGAAAAGGCTCCTTACACCCACATAGCAAGTAATTTACTGTGCCTGATAACTTGTGCCTGATAACTGGCTTTGCACTCACTGTGGTAACACTAGTCATTTCAAAGATTCCTGTAAAGCTAGGTTTCAGTTCCAACAGAAAAATAAAGTTTTTGTTGAAAAAGTACTTACTACCAGGAAACCTGGTTCCTACAATAAAAAAACATGTGATGCCTGCTTGGGCAAAAGAAGTTTAATTAGCCCTTTTTCTCATTACAAGTGACCTAAACTTGTTTGTATTCCTAAGTCTAATCTTTGATTTCCTTGTGCAGGGAGCAGTGAAAGGAAGTAGCCAAAGATGGTACATAGATAGCGGCTGCTCTAAACACATGACTCTAAGTGCTGATGATTTCCTTTCACTCAAGGCCCTACAAGGTGGGAGTATGTCTTTTGGTAATGGCAAAAAGGGATACATTCTGGGAGTTGAAAAAATTGGAAAGACACTCATTCATTTAATTAGAAATGTGTATTATGTGAATGTCCTGAAATACAGTCTGCTGAGTGTCCCTCAGATCTGTGACAAAGGAAACAAAGTGGAGTTCTTATCAAAGTCTTGCACAGTCACCAATCTTGTAACTGGTGAAGTGGTTCTGGTGGTAAAAGATTTAAAAATATCTATGTTGCAGACTTTGAGTCACTGAACAATGGGGACCTCACATGTTTGAGTGTTGTTGATGATGATGCTGAAATGTGGCACAGAAGATTGGCATATGCAAGTTTCTCTTTGTTGAACAAGCTAGTCAAAAGGGACCTGGTTCATGGGCTGCCAAAGTCAAAGTTCAAGGATCACAAGGTGTGTGATGCATGTGGAAAAGAAAAGCAAGTCAGGTCCTCATTCAAGACAAAGAAGGAAGTTAGCACCTCAAGGTCACTGGACCTTCTCCATATGGATATGTGTGGACCTATGAGGATGCCCAGCAGAGAAGAAAAGTTGTACATCTTTGTTATTGTTGCTGACTACTCTAGATTCACATGGACCTTGTTCCTCAGAACCAATGATGAAACATTTCCAGTCTTTGCTGCCTTTGTGAAGCAGATTCAAGCGAAGATGAGCCATAATGTTGTAAGCATAAGATCTGATCATGGTACCGAGTTTGACAATGCAAAATTTGATAAATTCTGTGCTAAAAATGGTATAAGTCATAATTTTTCAGCTCCCGGAACACCCCAACAAAATGGTATTGTAGAGAGGAAGAATAAGACTCTTGAAGATATGGCAGGGACGATGCTAATTGACAGTGGCGTACCAAAGAGCTTCTAGGCTGAGGCAGTGAACACTGCCTGCTATATGATAAACAAGTGCATGATCAGGTCCCTCCTAAACAAGACCCATTATGAACTGCTAAGCGGGAGAAAACCAAAGCTGACTTACCTGAGAACATTTGGTTGAAAATTCTTTATTCTCAATAATGGTAAGGAAGCATTGGAAAAATTTGATGCCACGAGTGATGAAGGGATTTTTCTCGGATATCTTCACAAAGCAAAGCATACAAGGCCTACAACAAAAGAAGTCAATGTGTAGAAGAAATCGTACATGTAATCTTTGATGAATCACACCACTCAAGTTGGAAGGATTCACATGATAAGAATGATCAAGACAGAGAGTATTTAAAGGTTCATGGAGAAGTGATTGATATGGCAAACGGGAAGGCAGATCTGATGAGTCAGGTCAAAGAGTCTAGTGGAGAAGATGCATCAGAACATCCAGCTGAGTCGGAGGAACCTGGTCTCTCTATTACAGCAACTGAAGCAGAAAATAGAGTTGCTAATGTTGGACAAGGCACCCCTGATGCTGAGCAGAGAAGTGGCACTCATACTTCCATGGATTCCATTGATGGATCTCACACGGCGGAACCTGGCTCTTGTCACCCTGAGTTTCAGGTGCCTAACTAGAAGCACAAAAGCT